TATTTATAGAACCCACATATATTTTTATGTTAAACAAACAAACAAACAACATTTTTTTTCATCATTTTTTTTTTTTTTTTGTTCAATCAACCGTATCCAATGATCGTAATAATGATGATGATAATATGGTGTTAATAAGTTGAAAAGTTTTTCTTTTTGTTTTTGTTGTTGTTGTTGTTGTTTACCATTTTCCAAATCGATTATCCCCATAATTATGTCACAATATAGTGTGAGATACATTTAGATAAAACAAATATCCATACATAGCTTTTTTGTTTTGTTTTATTATTCAGGTTTTTTGTTGTAGTTGTAGTTGGACAGCTATCTCTCTCTCTCTCTTTTCCTGGTTATTTGTTTTCCTGTTGTTAAGATTCAAAGATTCAAAGTGTTTATTTCGGTTATTTTCAGAGTATATATAGAGAAAAAACGAAAAAAGTCTTGACATTTTTTTTTAAAAAGTAAAAGGATTTTTCTGTTTTCATTCATTCAATGTGTTTACCTATATGAAAACACAATGAAATCAACAAAATTTCAGTTCTTTTTATTGATTTTATCATTGATTAATCCACATATGATGGCCATACATCAATATCCATCATCAGTATATGGTTCCAATCGATATGGTGATAATAATATTGATGCAACAATAATTTCCAAACAAAATTTACATATTTTACCAATACAAAATTTACATACAATTAATAAAAATCCAATAATTGATATAAAATCAAATAATAATTTAATTACAATACGTTTTAATACAATTAGTTCAACAATAAATACAATACAAAAACATCATGGTAATCAACGACCGAAAATACAACATTCAAAATTTATGGCCGAACCAGATATACTAATACAAAATATACAAAAACCAATCATACAAAAAGTACATGAAATAATACAACCATATCGTAAAATTTATCAAGAAATATTACCTGTAAAAGAAAAAATTGAAACAATTATTTCAAAAGATACAAATCAACAAAATTATGATAATTCATTCTCATCATCATCATTGATTTCGAAAAAATCGATTCCTGAAAACAGTGATAAAAAACCAATTGAAAATCAATCGAATAATCATTAATCAATCCAATCATACATTGGTCAACCGAAGTAATAAAAATTCCAATTGTCAATGGTCAAATTAACATTCTCTTTTTTTTGAATCAAAAAATTGTATCAAATTTTGTTTTTCCCCAATAATTTTTTCACCCCTTTCAAACAAATGAATGAATGAACAAAAATAAATTATTCAAATCATTTTGTCTTATGGAATTAATGTTTTTTTTTTCGTTTTGTTTCTGCTTGTTTTGCTTTTTTTCTCTATATATATTCTCAGTATTCTGAGTCCCAAAAGATTGAGAGATTCTCTATTTTTTTTCTGTTCAATGCAAAAGTAAAAGCATCTTTTTGTATTGTAAAAATAGTGCATCACTAAAAATAAAAGTAAACCAAAAATAAAAACTTGAAAATTTTCATTTCAAATGATGACTTATAAATTAAAAGTATGCAACAACAACAACAAAAAAGAAATAAGTAGGAAGAAAGTTTCTCGGAAAGAAACAATGTAACAATGTAACTTACATGAATGAATGAATGAAACTTACCGGAATTATATTCTTTGCTTGAATCATCATAACTATACTATAGAAAGGTTGATAAAATATATTTTCCATTAAATTTTATGTATGATCCAAAATGTGAATGCATTTTTATATTAGTCATTCATTCGTGATTGTAAAATATATAATGCCCATAGGAATTCATTGGGTGTTTTTTTCTGCATTTTATGCACATGATAAGACTATCTTTGTGTGTGTGGGTTTTGGATACTTTTTTTATTCTGTTTCCATAGTATAACATTCTTGCTTGTATTTTCATTCTCTAGAATGACTTATTACAATTATATATTCATCTAGAGTTTGTTAATGAGATTAACTTTTTCTTTTTACTTTGTTCTTATCATTCAAGATAATAACTAGCCACTTTCGTAAGAATGAATAGTTTTTTTTTCTTCTGATGAATTTTCTCTTTATTCTTAACATTTGGTATCATTGAATCAGTTCAGTTTTTGCCATTTTTTTTCTGAATCAAACAAAATCTTTGCAAAAATGAAAAATTCTTTACAAAATTTTCTAAAATTTTTTCTTTTTCTAAAAAAAAATTTATTTTTAATCTTCATTTAGGTGTACCATTTCCACCATCGCATAAGATAACGATGGCCGAAGCATTTGATACAAAAACGAACAAGCCACGTATCGATGTATTGAAATATCATTTTGTACATGAAGGACGTTTAGAGGAAAATGTTGCCCTACGTATTATAAATGAGGGTGCTGCCTTATTGAGAGCTGAAAAAACAATGATCGATATTGAAGCTCCCGTAACCGGTAATTAGGATT